ATTTTTAAAATACAAAAATAAATAGAGTATTTATCTAAATGAGCATTGTTTGAAGTAACAACCAAGTCTTATTCAAAACAATATAGCAATTAATGATGACGAATGTTGTGCTATAATTAGAATTCTAAAACATATAACTTCCAAGAGAAACCGTGTGAATAAACAATATAAATTATACTAGGAATATGTATTTATTATAGAAAATTTGTATTGCTCTATATGATTTATAGTTAATGTAAAACTCAATTAATGTAACTTTAAAAATAAATTGCCCAACAAATAGAAAAGAAAACCAGTGCTATGTATACAATTTCTTTTGCAACATTATGTAATTTAAAGGCTATGCATCTAAGATGGAAAAGGCGACTAACATTACTTACCACAATATTACAAGAACATGCAAGCCATGGTTAATTAGCTCAATTGAATCCACATTTGCCTAGATACCTAGGTTTAGTCCTAGGATATAGTCCAATAACAAGCATTCGAATGAAAATGTTTAGAAGTTCTAACTTAATCTTAAATATCATATGGCTATACAAAAAGATCACCATAACAAGTTTATATCAATTGGTGTATGATTGACTATAAGGTACACTTTACCCCATCAACATTCAAATTGAGATATGAATCCTCGGGTGTTAGATGTGTTAGATAATAAGAATAAAGGTAAACAGTTGACACTCCTTTACTTTTTAATTTTTTTACTTGTTTTTATAAATGTTAGAATTATAATAATAATTAAATTGTATAATATATTATTGTTGTTATTGTTAATGCAACGGGTATTCCTTCAAGATAGAATGTGGTATGCAATTTGTAATTAATCACATAAGTAGGAATTTATGGTATGTTATGACATTGTGATTTGACTTTGTATATATTACATTTGAATGTAATAGCAGGATCCCTACATAAGAAATATTAATTAATTGTAATAGCATAAATTATATCATGAATATATAGATAATGATACTTTAAGATAATTGATGTGCGAGATAGTCGATAGACGAATGGATATTGTTGTGAAGTAGGTGTTGACACTTTGATATTGTTGTTTTGAACTAAATAACTATGCTTTTAATTAATGGAGTATTTTTTTCTTTGATGTTGATACGGGGGGAACTAGTTATTCTGTAGTGGGATAATGACGTTAGTGTCTGCTAATGAGTGTTATGTTATAGAACTAGTTACCCGATAATGAGTTATGTTGAGGAATTAGTTACTTAGTAATGGTGTTGTTGCATGTATGAGGCATTGCGACGATCGTCTACCTTAAAAAATTATTTGTAATTGTAATAGATAGGTATATAGTTTATTTTAGTGACATGATTAAAATATTGATGTCTTTTCTTAAGTACAGGAGTGTCGAAGTAATAAATAACCCAGCAAGACTGGGATCGAACCACATAGAGGTTAACTACATAAATTATAAACAACAACAACAACAACAACAACAACAACAATAATAATAATAATAA